ATTATATCAAAGTGTACAATTTCAAGAGGCATCAAATTAGCACACAATGGAATATCTCCAAGTAAAAGCTCGCATATAGGATACATAGAAGCACATAACACATAGTCTCCGGATGGGAGAGACACACATAACACATAATTCAAGGGTTCCATAGATCTATTCAAATTAGGAGCTAATGTTTTTGAAACAAAGGAATGGGTGGAACCCGAATCAAGTAGCACATGAGCAGGTTGGCCATTGATGGAAAGCATACCTGAAACCACAGCATCTGAATTTTGGACATCACTTGGAACAAGAGCAAAGACTCTCTCTTGCCTAACGTTGTCTCTAGAAGTAGTAGGCCTTACAGGGGTCTTTGTTGTAGGAGTGGAACTGGCTGAACTAGCAGTTGGCCTATTCCCTTTTTGTTGCCTAAACATAGGACAATCTCTCACCATCCCGTGTTTCCATAATTAAAGCAAACTCCTGATGCTCGATAACAAACCCCCCGATGCTTCTTTCCACACTCTAAACAAGTTGGTGCCGAATCACGGGTAGAACTCGAAGTGTTGGAAGTTCCCAAATTTTGCTTCTTATTTTGTGAGGAAGCCGACCCGTTGTGCACATTGGAGCCTTGGGACTCACATTTGCACATTGGACCCTTTACAAACCTAAGACCACAATAGCAAAAACAAAATAAAGTCAAAGTATGATGTGAGTCAAAAATGAAACTCCATCTCGGAGGTGTGACTCAATTAGGTCTCAAAAAGAATGGCTCCTGAAGCTGACTCTAGGGGTGTACTCCATGTTGCGGATTACCTACATGTGCATACATAAAATTGATGATCGAAGCTCAATGAATAACAATATAGTAAAACAATGTAAATAGATAGCTATAAGGTTCTCGCAATACTCAAAATTGTATAAACAAAATGGCCTTAGGCCCAATCATACTTCAAAATGGCCTCAGGCCCAACATATAACAAAAAGGTGTCGGGCCCAATCATATTTCAAAATGGCCTCGGGCCTAACATGTCATATAATATTAATGAGGTCTCTCATTTCAAACAAATCACAATGTTGGCACCATTCACCGTTCATAGTTCAAGGTACACAATAACGAACATATAAATATGATATTATTACTCACAGTGGGATCGATCTTGTGGCGTTTCCTTCGGCACACGACCTACACCAAACATGTCACACACATATTCGATAAGTAATTTACTTCAATTGTACTCTTTTATTTCATTATTCACAACCTTATTTAATGAGTTTCTATTCATCATTTCACTCCCAAAAGGGGCTAAATAAGGTTAAGAACGCATTCTGGAGGCTGGGGGTAGCAAGACAAAACAACACAATTTTTTTCTTGTTGGGCCGCACGTTCGGCCGGTCCAATCACTCGAGTGGTCTGGCTTCGCACGTGCGGAAATGGCCATCGCTTGAGCGCATAGTGAGGAGTGGGTTTAGGCTTAAATCTTGGGCGCTCGTGCGGAACCTGAGGCCGCATGAGCTGTCTGGGCTTACTTAGGCAGTCCGAAAATGGCTCCAAGATGCAAACGTTTTCCTCTCATTCCCAAGCCCAAATCCATGTAAAAACAACTCAAAAACATGATATCTAAGCATGATACAAGTGTAATTCCACATTAAACAAATCAATCTTACATCAATAATAATTTCATGATCTAATCTTTTCACAATTTCATTGTTTACATACACAAGTTTAAAATACATATATTCATGAATGATTTTCTCACAAATCTTGTTTGTATAAACCATCTAGGGTTTGTTTCATGTATCAATCATAAAAATGAACTCAAATCAAATAATGGTGTGGAGATTAAGGTCCAATTTTATGCCTTTAGCTCTAGTCACTACACAATTCCAAATCCTAACTCAAAATTCCTAATTTCTTCATGATTTCTTGACAAAAATGAGTTAGAGACAAAATTTGTAAGTAAATTAACATACCTCAACTCAAATCTAAGGTTTGCTCTTTGATTTTCTTCAAATCCTTAGCTTTCTCTTCCACTCTCTCTCTCTAACTCACTCTCTAGGGCTCTCAAGCATCAAATGAAGAACAATAGGGCTAAACACACATATATGACCCAACTCATAAAACATGATTAAATCATTACAAATCATAATTTTTCAAAATTTCACCGTAAGCTTTATAAATCATGCTAATCGTAGATATGAAATCGATTTTTGTTTATCGCGCCTCTAAGGCCTTCAATTTTAGCTCAAAGTCTCAATTGCACCAGATATTCCTACTTTCAACAGATGTTTTTCCAAATTCACATAATTCACATACTTAAATTTGCAAATTCATATCAACCACATAATCACATGCATAATTAAGTATAGTACAGGTTGGGTTATCACACATTGTTAGAGTTGGTTATCTGTTCTCGAACAAATAAGAAATGTTCGGTTTCCTGTTCCTGAACAAATAAACAATGTTCAGACTTGTGTTTCCGAATTTCGGTCATATGTTTAGGAGTTCAGTCCCAAAAAAAATGATGAACAATTTTTATTATTTTTCCCATTTTTTTTCAACAAACTTACCCTTATAAAACCAATCTCCTCTGAGCTAAGAACACCATTAAAGTTATGAACATCCTCTAAGCTTTTATGGTAATCTCGTTTCATGGAGTTGTGGTTGCCAAAAAAAACTTTTACTCATTGTCATTGTTGGAAAAGTGTAGGTAATCAAATGGTTGCCACCGTTATTACTGAAATATTGCCACAAAATGTTTTTCAAGGTTTTAAGGGTGGATAAGTTTTGAAAGTGGAATTTGGAGAAGATGGATGGGTGGTGATAGAAGTGGGTGCTCTCATAAACCCTAATTCATGATGTAGTGGATATGTGGACTTAATTGAGAGATAGGGTGTCCAAAAATTATTGATATCATTTTTAGTAATTTTACTTGAGGTTATTAGTATAATAGAAAAAGAGTGGTGCTATTAGCACCCTATAAATTATTTTGAACTTTCAATTTCTTTGGATCCCCACTTATAAATTTTGAAACCCTTAAAATTTTTTTTATCTCCCCAAATAATACCAAAATTATCTTTAAACATTCCACCCATTGAATGCACACTCCCTACACCCCCCAAAAAACTTCCCTTTCAAAAAACCCTGACAAAACTCACTAAGAAGAAGAAGAGTCTCATCATTTTCAAAACACACGAAGAAGAAGAAGAAGAAGAAGAAGAATACCGTTTCTGCCTATTTGACCAACTTCCCACCTGATATTTTTCATTGCTCTCAAATCCAAGCTCTTGATTTGAGTCACAATAATCTTTCAGGGGATGTTCCAATACAAAATTTGTCTATGGTTGTCACCAACCTCACTTATCTTAACCTATCATACAATCACTTATTGGAGATTAAAATCTCCGATTTCCAGTTCTTAAAACTCTTCAGTTCTTCGAGTTTTTTTTATTCTGAACTCATCTATATCACAAAAAGTTCAAAATCAATGTTCGATTACCGATTCCCGAACAAATAAACAATGTTCGGCCCTATGCTCCCGAATTTCGATCATATGTTCGGGAGTTCAGTCTCGAAAAAAATGACGAACATATTTTATTATTTTTGTCATTTTTTTTTCAAGAAACTTACCCTTACAAGGCCAATCTCCTATGAGGTAAGAACAACATCAAAGTTACGAACCTTCTCTAAGCTTTTATTATTGTATTCCTCTCGTCTTATGGAGTTGTGGTTGCCAGAAAAATTTTCACTTATTGTCATAGCCGGAAAAGTGTAATTAATTAAATGGTTGCCACAGTTACCGTCGAAATACGCCAAAGGGTTTCCAAGGTTTTGAGAGTGGGTAGGTTTTGAAGATGAGATTTGGGAAAGATACATGGGTAGTGATGGATGTGGGTGCTTTCATAAACCCTAATTTATGATGTAGTGGGTGTATAAGTTTAATCGTGAGATGAGGTATCCCAAAATTAATGATGTCCTTTGTAGTAATTTTATTTTAAGTTATATTGTAATAAAAAAAAATTAGGAGGTCCAAAATAATTTATGGAATACTAATAACAACACTTTACAAAAAAATTAAAAAATAAAGAATCTAAAATAATTAATAGGGTGTTAATAACAATCAGCTTGCTTGTTTTCATTTTTCAAAAAACACTTTTCAGAAAATTCTACTTTCTTATTTTCTATGTTTTTTTGTTTTTATTGAATTTTTTTTTAATATTTTAAGCATTTTTTTTTACTTTTTAGACACACCTAACATAAATATATCTAAAAAGTAAAAAAATTGTAAAAATAATCTTTTAAAAATTCACTAAATAGAAAAAATACAAGAATTCAGTATATTTTTTATATTTTTATGTATTTATTAATTTTTTAAACTATTTTTTCACAAATTTTTTATTTTTTAGATACATCTAAGTAAGGTGCATCTAAAAAAGTAAAAAAAAATGTTTAAAATTTTACAAATATTCACTAAAAACAAAAAAATACGAAAACTAAAAAACTTAATTTTCAAAAAACTTAATTCAAAAAACTCAAATCAAACACACTGAATACTTTTATTTTTCAATTGAATAAGAGTTGGCCAATAATTTTAAAAAAAAACCTTTAAAAATCAAAAAAATTATAAAATTTAAATTTAGAAACTTGCAGCACCTAAAAACTTTCTTTCCCTTATATAATGGCTTCGTTTGGAAATTTGCTATTTTAATAGGCTATTTTAGTTTTTGACTATTTTAGTAGGTTAAAATTTTTGTGTTTGAGAAGATGATTGGATTTTTTTGCGGTTAGATATGATATTTATGAGAGAAAAAGTGAAATGATTATGAATTTGATGTGATATTTTATCTTATTAACTATTTTAACCTATTTTTTTTTTTAAATTTTAATCTAAACTAAGTTTTTTTTTTTTTTCTTGCCAAATACCCCAATACATAAATAGATAGACTAAGTTTTTTTTTTTCTTGCCAAATACCCCAATACATAAATAGATAGATGAATAAACAAATAAATCCGCAAACAATCAGCCCTAATAAAGTTGGAAGAGGGAAGGAAAGAAGGAAGGAGAAGGCGACTTTTGCTTTGGAATTACAAAGCTTTCGACTTTCGGCAAACCCTTCCCCCCACTCTCTCTCTCTCTACATTCTTCCTCTATATAACCGACATATATCTTTATTGTTTCTTTCGTTGATATATATTTATTTGATTGTTGTCCGCTTGAGATCTGCTTCTCTGTTTTCCCCCAAAATTCTGTTTGTGTATACCTATATACACATACATACTTTTTCATTCGTAAATACATCCAATTAGGGCAGTTTTCGGACTCAAATCAAAGATCTAAGCAATCATGTCTTACGCTTATCTTTTCAAGTACATCATCATCGGAGATACTGGTAAAACTTTCTTTCAATTCCTTCCTTAATATATATATATATATATATCAATTCAAAATTTCAAATTCTTAAAAAAATTTATTAATTTGAGCATGGGAGTTATTGTTCAACAATTGTGTTAATTTTTAATATTTATTATTTTTATAGATATTATGGATATGGAACTTTGTAGGAATTCTTGTATAGCATTAATTTAATTTTTTTTTTTTTTTGTGTTATGATGTCTTGAAATACCCAAGAGATATGTAGATTTGGCAATTCTTATTCGTTGTTTCGTCTATAATGATAAGACTTTACTCTATTTCAACTTCTGTTATATTGATTAGTGTTGGTAAATTCAATGTCGTGTCTCTGCAACTGATCATGTGATACCTACTATCCTCTATTCCTCGTCTCTCAACCTTGGGGAAAATTAAAAAAACGTCCTAATAATTCCTATCAAGTTTCTTAATAAAATCGTTGGTAAAAATAATTAACTTCTCCCACCTGCTCATACATCATGTATTGTAAGAATTGTACCCATTACATCATTAGTATATACCCATTACATCATGTATTGTAAGAATTGTATGGTCCAAATGCATGTATTTAACTTCTCCCACCTGCCCTACGATACGATATGGATACGACGATACGACAAAATTTGAAAAATTAAGATACGGGTACGGCGGAGATATGTTCATAAAAAATATTATTTTTACAATTTTTAGTAATATAACATACATAAAAATAAAACTTCAACAACTTCAACAATAAAACTTCTAACATAAAAATAAAACTTAAAGCAAAAGACAACTTAATAAAAAAAGAAAGATTCCTATCAAGGTAAGAGCCTTTAAGGTCCATAGCTTCAACTTGCTCCCTTTCATCAATGAATATCCTTAAATATGTATATGAACAAATAAAGTGACACATATTTGTTTTAATTATAACTTTTTAGGACATTTTTGATATTTTTTCACCAAAAAAAAAATAAAATGTGACAATTTATGTAGCCAAATAGGTTCAACTTTTTTCATAACTAAACACATTTACAATTACAACTTATTTTAATTCTTTTATACTAATAATCAAAAAATTTATAAGTATAAAAGCTAATGTATAAATGATATCAAATGGGGCCAAAATAGGAGTATACTTATAAAAACAAAAAAACAATTGTATCCAGACCAAAGAGATCGAAAGGGAGAGCGAGACGATAGAGGGAGAGGGAGAGATCGAGCGAGATGGAGAGATCGAGCGAGATGGAGAGAGAGAGAGAGTGAGATTGAGCAAGATCTGTCCAGACCAGAGAGATCAAACGAGAGGGAGAGAGAGAGAGAGAGAGAGAGAGATCGAACAAGAGAGAGAGAGAGGAATGAGCCTACTCGACGAGCTGCTTTTCGCAAACCTGATCGACGACTCCTTGCTGGTTGGTTGATAGAGACTCCTCTTCCTCCTCCTCTCCTCCTTTGCTGCTGCTGTTTATGACCTAGGTAGGGCTTGGTTCATTGATTTTTTTGTTTTATTTTACCTTACTTTTGTTATTTTATAGTTTGACTCCCATTATAAGTTTTTAAAATTATTTTTTCGCCCCGCTGTATCTCGAAAGTATCCTGACCGTATCCCTGAAGTATCCTCGCTTATCCCAAACGTATCCGAAATTCAAATTTTTTTTAAAAAAAATAGGATACTTTTTTGTTGTATCTGATACGTATCTCGCCGTATCGGGCGCATATCCGTATCCGATACGTATCTGACACGCGTACGGGGGCTATTTCGGAGAATCCGTGCTTCATAGGCCCTAGGGAAGGGAGGATCAGAAGGGGAGAGTGGAGTGGTCGAACCCAAGATCTAATACTGAGGATCGTAATCTGGATGCCACCTTGGACCCAAGTACATGTACAAATTGATTAAATTAGTATCTCCTCTTTTTTCTTCTCTCTCTCTCTCTCTTCCCTTTTGTGTGTGTGTGTGTGGCATGCAATCTAGCTGGCTGTATCTCATATTATTACATTTTTTTAGAAGTTACGAATGTTTGTGGTAGATTATAGGGTTGCTTTATTTGTTATACTCATTGATTGTGTGCAAAAGTGCAACTCATTTGAGTTTGATCCCTTCTTATATAGGAGTTGGAAAATCATGTCTTCTTCTTCAGTTTACTGACAAGAGGTTTCAGCCTGTGCATGACCTAACTATTGGTGTTGAATTTGGGGCCAGAATGGTCACAATTGATAACAAACCAATAAAGTTGCAGATTTGGGACACGGTATGTTGCCTATTCTCTGGATTTCTTTTTCTACTACTAAAATGTTCTATGTAGGGTGCCCTGCCCTGGTTTCTTCTGTAGCTGCTTCATGAATGGCATGAATATCTCAATTAAGAACCCTAACTTTGTTCCTTAGCTTTGATCTTTTAGTGGCACGGTTTCAATGGAAAGCCCTTGAGTCTCTGACACAGTTTATGCAAATTTAACTGTTCATCATTTTTTGCTGTCAGGCTGGTCAAGAATCATTCAGATCTATTACAAGATCATACTACAGAGGGGCAGCTGGTGCACTGCTAGTTTATGATATCACTAGGTATCATTTTTATTTTTTAATCTTCTTAAATGACATAAGCAAGCTATCTGTTATACTTGAAGAATTGTTGTTTTATTTTCTCATGTAAAACCATTGTTTGTTTGTATTGAAAGAGGATTTTTTTAAGGTTTTTATTTTTTTAAAGAGTTTCTAGTTGAAAACTCTCGGTAGAACCTATTGAAATCCTTGAAGTGTGTTATAAAGGTTTTGGGTGATCCTATTGAAAACTAGTTGTGATTAGTGGATCAATGCCAACAAGGTAAAGAGTAGATGTAGTCAAGTGGTTGAACCCCTATAAATTTTATTATCTTTTTATGGGTACTAATTTTTGGATGGGTTACTACTATAAATTATTGTGTTCATCTCTTCACATGGTGATGAGATGAATGTGATTCATTCATGGAATTGGGTTGAATTTCTATTGACTATGAATGCATGACTCGCTAAGTGTACTCTTGTATTCAAAGTTATGATCAAGTAAAAATTTGACAATAAATCATACTCCGACGAAAGTAGAATAATTATTGAGCCTTGGATGGTCAAGAGATAAAATTGAAGAATATCCATTTTTAGATCTTTACCTTGGTTGAGGTTGTAAAATCAAGAGAACTAATTGATTTACTCAACCAAAACTTAAGTTGTGTTAGAAATTAAAATATCTATATTGAGTTGTTGACCTAAGTGCCCAAAAATTTGATATAGGTTTAGTACAAAAGTTGTATGAATTTTTCACCTCATAGAAAGATTTTTTTATTTTTTTATTTTTATCTGAAATACCAACGTGTTGAGACTTTCTTTACCCTACAGGCTGGAATTGTTTTTGAGTCTTTCGATATTCAAGGAAAAATGAATGTTTTATGTTATCTGACAATGTGTGTATCATTAATGCAATGGAAAAATAGTTGCAAGCAAGCCCAGCTCAAGAAACAAAAGTTCTAATCTTGAAACTCTTACCATTGTGTCTAGCACCGCCATCAGAGGTCTGACGCATGTTGTGAGTGCCTATAACTTATTTGGAGGCCTTGTTTGGGAACATGTTATTTTAGTAACTTTTTGGCTTTTTGGCTAAAATATGAGGTAAAAAACTTGTATGGTTGGAATGATTTTTTAATTTTTTACGAAAAGATGTTCAAAAAGTAGAGATAAAAAGAAATCTTTTTTATTAACTTTTTGACTTTTAGGTTAAAACTATTACTTCCCAAACGAGGCCAATTAGGCTGGAAGATTGGATACTCTGTGAGGGGCAGAGGAGAGAAATGGTGTATCATTGTTTTGTTAGCATCAATACCCTAAGCCTAACCACCCGTGAAAGATTGGAAACTTTAAATATTGGAACCAGTTTATTGATTGGAAATTAATAGTTTAAGCAAAAAGTATGTAATCTGTTCAGGATGTAAGTACTAAGTTACTCTCTCTCTCTCTCTCTAATAATTTAAGCTTTTGGATGAGATGATGGTCAACAATTCAACATGATACCAGAGCAGAATACGTTTTGTATTAGAACCTCACAGACTATGAAGCACGGATACTTCAAAAAGGGTGACGTATCCGTATCGGATACTTATCGAATACCGATACTCCTCAGATACTCGCAGATACGTATTGGATACTTCTTAAAAGTATCGGATACTTCTTAATTAATTTTTTATTAATTTTGAAGTATCGGATACTTAATTTTGAAGTATCGGATACTCGAAGTTACATATTACTTATAATATTTTGTTTAATTCTTTGATAAGAGGAATATAGTGAGTGTTAAAGTAATAAAATTTGTCAAATTGATGTATCCTTGTTGTCTCTCTCACTTCTCTCTTGCTTTCTCACTCTCTCACGTTTCTTCTCTCTGTTCTCATTCTTTTTTTGGTGTTGGCATGTAAGGATGATGTTTAATTTGCATTTGCTTTTGCTTTTAGTTTTGGATGTTTTATGAATGTTTGAGCACTTTTAGGTTAATAGGAATCCCTTTCTTTATTTATTAATTTACTTTAAGTTTTATTTTTATGCATATTACATTATTAAAATTATAATTTTTTTTTTTTTTTTTAACGAATGTATCCCCACTGTATCCGTATCATACTTTTTCAAATTTTGACATATCGCTATATCCACATCCCCATATCCCATATCCGTATCCGTGCTTCCTAGGCTATCATTGATGACTTAAAAAAGTATATTTGCTAAAATTTTTATTTAAGAATGGTTTTTTGGCTTTAGCTAAGGTCTTGTGATATTCACTGATGAAGGGAAACAAGTTGAAGCTATTGACCTTAAAGACTCTTAGTTTTATAGGAATCTTTCTTCTTTATCAAGTTGTCTTTTACTTTAGGTTTTATTTTTATGCATATTGCATTACTAAAAATTGTTAAAATAATATTTTTTACGAACGTATCCTCGCCGTACCCGTATCCTAGTTTTTCAAATTTTGTCGTATCGCCGTATCCGTATCGTATCGTATTGTATCCGTATCCTGTATCTGTATCCGTGCTTCCTAGCTCACAGACTACCAAATATTTATAATGCTAGGTCTTGATTGGCCTCTTATGGTGAAGACTCTGGTCACATATGAGGGGATGTTTTGAGTTGCATAGAAATAATAAAGTTATCACTAATCCTTCTCTCTAATAAATTGAGCTTGTCAACAATTTGACAAAATCTCTCTTTTGAAATCATGGAGAAATGCATTTGGATAACATCTTTTTTTAAATATTATTGCTTCTGGACCATGACATGGATCTGGAACTCTTGAAAGAATGACTTGGAATATATTTTTCCAGCAATAGCAGTGGTATCCCCACAGCTGCGGCAGATCTTTTATCCCCTGTTTCACTAACAGATCTGAATGGAAATGTTCTTTCTTACCAGAGCTGGAAAAAGAAAAAGAAAAAGAAAAAGAAAAAATGAGGTTATTTGTATTCTTCAGTTACGTTGTGGTCCATATGGGGGGCTATTTCTTTCATTATGCCAAATACAGCCAAAATAGGAGAATGAATTAATAAAAAGCTTTAAGCAAATAATAGGTACTTCTTTGTTTTGATTGATTATAGAGAGAGGAGGCTGAATACCATTTAGAAATATGCATAAGCAATCCTAGGTATCAATTATCTGATGCAATGCGTTCAGTTATGCGCCTTATAGTATAATTTTACTTCTCTTGAGAAGAGCAAAATAAGCATCTCATTGTGCATGGTTGTCTAGCTCATTGTGGTTCAGCTTTTTGAATTGATTTCTTGCAGTATTTTAATATTTGTGTGCGATGACCTTTTACCTTTACGTTTGAGAGAGTGCTGATGATAGATTTTGAGTGACTGAGTTGTGCAGCCATTACTGAGCTTGTTTAGTTTTAATGTAATATTGCTCTGCTACTCAGCAGTTATAAAGTATGATTTTAATTGTTTTGCCATTCAGGAGGGAAACGTTCAATCACCTTGCAAGCTGGTTGGAGGATGCAAGGCAGCATGCAAATGCAAACATGACTATCATGCTTATTGGAAACAAGTGTGATCTTGCTCACAGAAGGGCTGTAAGCACAGAGGAAGGCGAACAGTTTGCTAAGGAACATGGCTTGATATTCATGGAGGCTTCAGCAAAAACTGCTCAGAATGTTGAGGAGGTGATGAATATTCCTACTGATTGGCTGACTGACGTTTAAGAAAGTTTCCTAGCATGAGCAGGACTTAATTCAATATTAAATGATACTTGGTTTCCAGACAAATTTTTTTTTATCTTTCTGATAATGAAGTTTTTGTACAGGCATTTATAAGCACAGCCGCAACAATCTATAAGAAGATTCAGGATGGAGTTTTTGACGTATCAAATGAGGTATTCTCTCTTCCTCTAGTGTTCTATTTATTCGTGGTGGAAGAATCCATTGCTCATCTTTGCATGAAAGATTCGATTCTGCTTGGAATTATTTTTCAGCATTTAATTTGGATAGTTTAGGTTGAGCAAGTTATTATTTTCATTTCAATACAAAATAGGAAACTCAACAAACATAATTGGTTTAAATGATTAGATTTTTATTATATAACCTCATTTTTTGTTTGGGATTACATGAAACTCACATGCATACATGTTCGACCAAGAAGTTAACAGTTGACTTAGATTTGAGGTTTTCACATATAACTACTAGTTACATTGTATTTGTATGCCTATGTAATTTAAAACTTCTCTGAGGCAAAAACATTTTTCCCATGGCATAAACATCTCATTGTTATCAAAAAATATTAAAGAATGCTGATTGGATAACAGGTATAATTCTCTGTACTAAAATTCTGGTTATCTGTTTTGTTTTGCAGTCTTATGGGATAAAAGTCGGATATGGTGGCATTCCAGGGCCATCAGGAGGCAGAGATGTCAATGCTTCTCAAGGAGGGGGCTGTTGCAGTTGAAAATGAAACTTTCTCAGAATCAGTCCACATTCCTTTGTTCACTAGTGCCGTTTATAGGTTTTGATGTTCTTTTCCCAGTGAAAAATATCGACAGTTCAAATGTGGAAATATTGACACTAATAAAAGAAGTTTAGTAAATAGCTTTGTTTGTGTTTGTGTTTGTTTTTTTTTTTTCACCCACTGATTCTTTTCTAATTGTGTAAATTTGACATCTAGTGTTGAATTTTACTTATATTACTCATGGTGGTTTGGGGTTTAAATTTCCAATTTGGGGTTTAAATTTCCAATTTTGACTATCTATGGATCGAGGAAGAAAACTACAACTATTTTGATGAATCATGCTGTTGCTGCTGCTGTTGTCCAACTGACGCAGTCAACTAGCGAAGATTGTTGCATTAGGCCATCTCCAACGGTTCACCAAATATAACATCAAATTCAAATTTGTTGAAAAAAAGTTGCTTTTTGTGCTCCAACGGTTGTTCCAAAACAATATCAAATTGAGAAAACGTTAAACGTTTCACCAAACTGAGGACGGCTTGTTCTTTTCACTAATTTACTGTGCATAGCCGTTAAAATAGAAATTTGTGAAATTTTTACACTACGGGATCGACCACCTGGTTGACCCCCTGGTCGACCATTTGGTTGACCAACCGGTCGACTAGCTCATGCAAAATTTGGTTTGCGAACTGGTTTAAATGTTCAAATTACTGGTTCAAACAGTTCAAAAAAAATTTGAACCGGTCGACTGGCCGGTCGACCCACCGGATGTCCCTTTCCTTTTTGATGCACACTACAGTAATCATAATCATTGGAGCTACGCGTATCAGATTAAGAAAATTAACTTTTTTTTACTCAAATTTTGTGAAAATTTTGGTAAACCGTGAGAGATGTTCTTAGTTTACAGGCATATGATGATGGTGGTGTCAATGATTGTTTGTTGAAAGTGAATTTGGCGACAGTGATATTTGGATTTGATTATTCGTACATTCTAATTTTCTTTCCAACAATGCTTGGTAATTCGAATTTTTATGATCCGAATGGCTCAAATGTCTTAAAACGGCGTCGTTTTGAAAATAAAACGAAATAATTTTGATACATTCGAATTATTTGGACAACACAAATTTGAGTTAAGAAGCATTTTTGTTTTCTTTCCTACCTCCTATTTTCATTTTCAAAATAATAAATATTTGAAAAATAAATTCTAAAGTTATTCTCTCAGTTTATTTTATTTTTTTAAAAATTAGATTAGAAAACTAATTTTATTTTTGTTGGAGCAAAAATAATTTAAAAATATTTTGAACTGTAATGTTTATTTTTGTCAAATTATTTTTTATTTTTTTAATTAAAAAATTAAAAAAAAAAGCAGATTCTGACAACAAAAGTGGGATTATATTTTTTGAAAAAAAAAATCAAATAAAAGAACTTGATGGGATGTTGACGGTGAGCAGGTACCAAAAATAATGTCTAGAAAATGTTATTTGTCGCATATGAATAAAATTATGAGTGGCTTGAAAAAACTTCAAACGAACGGTTGTAAAGCGTCGTCAGTCACAAATATTTATATTAATCAATTCAGCATTATTATTATTAATCATAGCAATCTCGACTCGTGAAATGACATCCATTTATATTAATCAATTGAGCATTATTATTGAAAATTTAAATTTAAATTTAATTTTTAAGTTTAGTGGATGTTTGGGATGTGTTATATAAATATAATATTTGATTTTTTAGTTAGTAGAGAAAATAATATGTATGTTTAAAATAATTTTTTAACTTTTTACTAAAAGATGTGCAATAAAATATTATAGTAAAATCAAAATGATAATTTTATCCTTTTACTTTTTGAATTTTTGAATAGTTGAATTGAAAGGATAAAATAATAATTATGTCCTAATAACTTTCCCCACAAGCTACTCTTGAATAGTATAGACTTTTTAATAATTTTTTGACTTCTTTAGTTTATTCCAAACAAGGCCTTAGGCCTCGTTTGGGAACAGGCTAATTTAGTAACTTTTTGGCTATTTGGCTAAAAAGGTAGGTAAAAAAAACTTGTATGTTTGAGATGACTTTTTGGCTAATTACGAAAACATGTGCAAAAAGTAGAGAGAAAAGAGAATCTTTGACTTTTTGGTATGGGTTGTTGACTTTTTGGCTAATTTAGTAACTTTTTAGCTAATTGGCTAAAGTAGCCTCTTGCCAAACGAGGCCTTAGTCTCACATATCTTTTTTAAAGGAGGAGAATCCTTCCAGTTTAGATTTTTGATATGAGAGTGTTATTTGGGTCTATGAGACCATCACGGATTTTATTTTGATGATTTAAATTGTTCATCTTGTCGGACGCTTTGTGTATTTCATCTATATAAAAAGTTAGGTTGATCCGATAATTGTAATTTATTCAATTTATTGCATGTATCACTAAAAAAAAATTATTTATTTTTAAAAGTACAATTATTATACTCCCTCCGTCCCAAAATAATGGTCTATTTTGGAGAATCTAATTTTTTTTTATAGTACAATTATTGCGTTTGAAAAAAATTGATTTTCTAAAATTATCCTTTTGATAGTACATTTTTTGGGAATATTAATGTCATAATTGTACTTTTTTATATTGTTTATTCATTTAAAAGAAGGGCAAAATAGAAAATTTATATTATTTTTGTACTTGATTTTTGAAGAGAGACTAATATTTTGGGACAATGAAAAATGGAATAAGGGACTAATATTTTGGGACGGAGGGAGTATATTTTTGTAGTGAAAAATTGAACAAGTTAGGTTTCGTTTGGGAAGTGGGTTGACTTTTTGACTTTTTTGACTATTTTAGCCTGGGGCTAAAAAGCCTGGTTTGAGAAGGACTTTTGGCTTTTTTAACTTTTTTGTGGGAGAAAGAATATAATGATTATTGGTTGAATGTGATGTTTTGTCTTATTGGGCTAAAAAATCTATTTTGTTTTTTGTGGCTATTTTAGTCAAAAAAAACCCTCAAAACCACTTCCCAAACATAGGCTTACAATTATCATATCGATATAATTTTTTAATGAACGGTTTGGATAATTGAAACGGAACCTATGGTGTCCCACAAACCCAAAAAGCACATTCCAATCCAAAATCTGAACTAAATTATTTTTTTTATTTTTTAATTATCAATTAATCATATCACTTATACATTATTAAATTTATAAAATCTGAAAAATGAGCATCATTTTTCTAATCAATTTATTAAACCAAAGCAATTCAGAATCACCGCCTATTATGTGGTGTTTTGAAAAGATGGTAAGAAATTATTTTTTTAATTTTTTTTTAGCTTTTGGAAAATGAATTGTGGCCCTAAAAACAGTGGTCCTAATGGCCCTAATTTCCTTTTCTGGATAAGTTTGTTTTTTTTTTCTTTTTTTTTTTTGCCTTGTTTTTTTTTTGTTGCCTTATATAGAAATTTAGGGGCATTTGGGCCCCTAAATTTCGAGCTACCAACCAAAACCGTTAACTTTTTAATGTAAAAAAGTAAAAAAAATAATATAATCCAAAAAAATTAAAAACTAAAATGCTAATCTTTCCAAATTGTACCAACGAATAAGAAAACTTTAACCCCAAAAAACTCTCCACACAAGCATTTCACGTGGATAGGTAATTTCATGGAGGGTGAATTCTCTTCTGTCCGTGATTGGATTAAAAAGTATTATTAGATTGGTAAAGATTTATTACGAGTCTCGTTTTGATAATTTAAACTGATCAATATATAGAGATTATCAAGTATTATATGATTGTAAAAAATTAATTTGATCAGATAATGATAGTTACATGATTAAATTAATTTTGTATAAAAGAAAATAAATGATAAAAAAATAAACGATTGACAGAAATCTAATTCGATAAAATAATTATCGATATCTGATAACGTAACTTTTTATAAATATATAATATTTAACAAGTTCTACGTATTAAACAATTTAAATTATCTAAAAAACACCCGTAATGAATTCTCATAAATCTAACAGCACTCTCTAATCTAATTACGGATTGCAGAAAAGGCCAGCCCTTTCATGAAAAACCAATGGTAAATAGGGGGTGTTTGGGAAGAAAAAAAATAGCTTAGTTTAGGTTAAAAATCACAAAAAGATAAAATAGGCTAAAATAGTTAATAAGACAAAATATCACATTAAACCCATAATCATTTCACTTTTTCTCTCACAAATATCACATCCAATCATAAAAAAATTCAATCATCTTCCCAAACACAAAAATTTTAACCTACTAAAATAGCCAAAAACTAAGGGTTGTTTTGGGAAGATGGTAAAAAGTGACTTTTTGGCTTTTAACCAAGCTTTTGGCTTTTTTAGACAAATGATTTGGGAAGTTGGTAAAAAGTGACTTTTGACTTTTTTGATTAATATTTGTTTATGATGTCAAATCATAATAAAAATACTAAACTACCCCCATTTATTTAAAATATTTACAACTGAACCTATGTAACACATTGTGACTCATGAGGGGTAAAATTATAATTTCACCGTTGGCTAAAAACCAACTTGCCAAATGAAAAAAAAAGCCAAAAAAGCCAACTTTTGGCTTTTGCTACTAACCGAAAAAAGTGATTTTTAGCCAAGTTCCCAAAATAACCCTAAAATAGCCTACCAAAATAGCCCCTTTCCAAACGAGGCCATAGTTTCCTCGATAGAATATCTGGATCTGTGTTGATTATTTACTAGAAACTATCCATTCTCTCTCTCTCTCTCTCTCTCTATAAAAGAGTGTGAGGTAGAAGTGAGTGGTAGTAGAGGTGGTGGACAATGGCGGCGATCGGAGCATTGAAGGTGCCTCATAGCACTGCCAGCCTCGCCGGCGAGAGAGCAAACCTCCGTGCGACGCCGTCTCGGAGGCTTTCCTTTGCCTCGTCTCATCTCTCCGGCGACAAGATCTCGCCCAAATCGGCCTCTCCACGGCGGCGTTCTGAGGCTTCTTCCGGCGACAGGACTCCATTCATTGTCTCTCCCAAGGCCGTCTCTGATTCGCAGAATTCGCAGACTTGTCTCGATCCTGATGCAAGCAGTGTCAGTTCCTTCTCCTTTTCTGTATTCGTTTAAAAAATGTTGCGTTGTGTGATATTTCGATACATGTATTACACATATACACGCATGTATAGTTAAATTACAAAAGCGCAAAGAACTTTGTCAGAGTTTGGAGCGAAATTGAAACAACAATTTGATCTAAACTGTTGATGAAATTGGAACTGATTTGACTGTGTAGTCACTAGTTATAGATCCAGGATACTATTTCTCTATTGGAACGAACTACATTTGCTTTAGATTAATCGTTTTATAACTAAATTTTTTTGGTGAATGGAACATTATATTCTTGCAGATCACACCGTAAAACGTCAGTATGGTTAGATTAGAATTTAGTACTTGGTGCTTTGCTTGATGCTTTTACTGTTTTCTGTGCTCCGTTTACTTGCTAAGAAAGCATAAGAAAAGGTATACGAGGATGGGATGAAACTTTGCTTGTAGAATATTATACTAATATTATCATATTTTAGTCATCCAAATGGTTAGTTATTACCTATTGGGTATGGTACAAGTACTGCGGCTATGTCGATATGGTAAAATTAAAAAAAAAGAGAGTAAGATACGGTATGACTTGGTTCGTTTGTAAAAAATAGTTATTTTAAATTTAGAGTATTGCAAAAATTAATTAAATGACTTAATTTGTTAAGATCCAATCTATAATTAACATTTAATGCTAAAAGTAAAGATATAAATCAAAATTAAACGTCAATATATTAAATAACTTACAAACCATAGTTTAATTTTAAAATTATGCTAAACATAAAATTAAAAATAAAAACGTAGTTTAGTGAAAGGAGTTTTATCTCTGTAGTAAAAGAAAAAATTATTTCAACTGAGGTATGGTACGGTACGGTCTAGGTATATGCTAAGTACGTTTGGGTATGCCAAAAACTAAGAACGTGTACCCGGTATGTATGCAAGAGTACCATAAGAGGTACCATACGCCGATAAGTACCCGGTATGGATACGGTATGTTTTTCGAAATAACCATGATTGATAGGTTATTACAATAACTATTTTAACAAAATTCTTTAAGACTAGTTATTACAATAGCTATTTTAACATAAACCTTTTAAGACTAGCTACACTTTAAAAGCTTTGGAGGCTTCTTTAAACAGTTTATGGGTGTAAATAGGTAAAATAAAGAGTAGCATTTAAGTATGTAGATAAAAAAAGGGATTAGGCAAAATAAAGAATTATTTTTTTTGTATTTTAACTAGTAAAAAATGAAGAGTATGGTTGGAGTTGCTCTGAAGGACCATTAAATGTGTTTTGCTTTTCATTGATTACTGAATGCATTTATTTCTGGAAATTTTGCACTAATTTGGCACATTTGCTCAAAATAAAATAAGGTAACCTTACTATGGACCTTAAAATCTTCAAATTTCATGGTCGATCATTATGATGCAGAGGACTACATTGTTGGATGTTTATGTAAAATCAGCTGAAATATGTGTAGCATTTGATCCATGACTTTGGGTTCCTCATGTCCCAGTAAAAAATGCTTGGAAAATATGGGTTTTGTTGCTCTGCTCTTTCTTTTTTAAACTTGTATGGTGGAATTTTATGCTTATGGCTATTTAGAAACTTTGATCTTTATAATGAGTTGATATGAGGAAGGGAATGATTAAGTGGTTTTGTATTCTTCACAGAGTGTTCTGGGAATTATACTCGGAGGTGGAGCTGGGACTCGCCTTTACCCTCTTACAAAGAAGAGAGCAAAACCAGCTGTTCCTTTAGGAGCAAATTATCGCCTGATTGACATTCCGGTCAGCAACTGCCTTAACAGCAACATATCAAAGATCTATGTTCTTACACAATTCAATTCTGCATCTCTAAATCATCACCTTTCATGGGCATACACAAGTAACATGGGTGGCTACAAGAATGAAGGTTTTGTTGAAGTTCTTGCTGCTCAGCAAAGCCCAAAGAACCCCAATTGGTTCCAGGTAGTATACAATCTGAACTCTAAACCTTCTAGTCTTATACTGTGCAACAGCTTTTCATTTTTGTGAGATTCCATAATATTTAATACAAAAGTCAATGCTAGACCTCATCCTCTGTTTCTATACTTGAATTGTCACCTCACCTTTCTGTGCCATTTGCATATGAACAGCTACAGCTCTAATTCTATAAGTTCATTTTTGGTTCCTGTGGTTCAACAAATGAAATTATAGTTCCACATCGAAGGCTCTTGATTCTTGCTGGGGACCATCTGTATCGTATGGATTATGAGAGATTTATTCAAGCCCATAGAGAGACTGATGCTGATATCACTGTAGCTGCACTGCCAATGGATGAAAAACGTGCCACTGCATTTGGTCTGATGAAAATTGATGAAGAAGGACGTATTATTGAATTTGCAGAGAAACCAAAAGGAGAGCAATTGAAAGCTATGAAGGTTGTTTCTTATAAATTACTTTATAATTCTTCATCAGTAGTAGTACAAGTCATGATTTTATTTATAAAACTGATAAATAAGCCCAGATTATGATTGATTTTATCTATTTGTCATGTTTTAGGTTGACACTACCATTTTAGGTCTTGATGATGAGAGAGCCAAAGAGATGCCTTTCATCGCGAGTATGGGTATATATGTTGTGAGTAAAGATGTCATGATAAATCTGCTTGCGGAAAAATTTCCTGGAGCCAATGATTTTGGAAGTGAAATTATTCCTGGTGCAACTTCCATTGGAATGAGAGTATGTGAAAAGCCTTTTTTTCTTTATTGGTACTCTACTTGTATTGTCGAAATCAGAAAGGACACAATGCATGTTCTTTATATTTACTGAAGTTGGTTGAGAGTTTATATTTTGTCTGGGACGTATGTAAATGCATAGATTGCACTTCATTGGCCCACTTGCTGATTGTGCTTCCCATTTTGATGGGGATGTGTAACAAGTGGTCTGGTTCTATATAGCTGTGCCATTTTGAGGATAATTGAAGCATCCTGATTCCTGAGTCATGCAGCGATAGTTTATTGTCTAGATATCTATGGCTTTGGGCTAATTTAAGTTGCTGCTTATGGACACCTAACTCTACTGATATCAACAGTGTAAATCTATTGAACTGAAACTTAAATGTGTACAAAATGCCGATCACCAATTTTCTTAGAATTCTGGCCTTCAAAATAATCTTCTATCTGCATTTTACTTCTCCAGATTCACAATTTTTGAAAGTCTAATTGCCTCTTCTGCCTATAGGTGCAAGCTTACTTGTATGATGGCTACTGGGAAGACATTGGTACCATTGAAGCTTTTTATAATGCCAATTTGGGGATCACCAAAAAGCCAGTGCCAGATTTCAGGTTCTCCTCTTGTCCATCGAACTTTTAGTATCTTTCTTCACCCTTGATGTGCTGTAACACCATCAACTCTTTTTGTGGTACAAAAACTTTGATATGTTCTTTAATTTATCTTCTGCTGTAGCTTCTATGATCGTTCAGCACCAATCTACACCCAACCTCGATATTTGCCTCCTTCCAAGATGCTTGACGCTGATGTCACAGATAGTGTTATCGGTGAAGGTTGTGTAATTAAGGTAAGTAACTCAATGTCTGCTGATAATATCTGCCACCTATTTAGATTCCACAGATGACAGTTGCGCGTTCATGAATCATACTTAAAATTTAGTTTTGCCAAGTGACGAGGATTTCTTTTGCAACCGATATTGTATCACTTTTTTTTTTTTTTTTTAAAAAGTATTTCTGTCATGGAAGTAATGGCATGAGAGGTTGCTCCTAGATGTTATTGACTTGAGAGATATGAGTTGTAGGAGCCAGGCAGTTAATCAAGCCTACAGTTCAAATACCATGGTTGGTCATACAAAATGTAGAAAGGCTTGATATGAAATGAATGAGAGGTCTATTAAGGATTGAGCCACGCCTAGTAATTACTGCAGCACCTTGTCACCGTCTTCTCTCTCTCTTCTCTTAGCTAAGTAGGCTCATCTCACACTTCAGCTTGCTACAAGCTTTTAAATTGCATTATGTCAGAATGTGCTGCCACACTTGTAGAGGAATCCTTCATCAATGGTTGTGAACGACTATTGTTCAAAAAGAAAACCTTTCTGCTCATTTGATGCCATTCACGTTTCACACAAATAGTGTAAGTAAGCTTACTCCTACTGTGCCACTTTCCACAGCAGATTGCAAGTGGCATATCACGTACTTCCTGCCTTCTGCTAAGGTAAAAAATCCATGACTGTGATAGAGAATGAAGCCGTAGTGTTAATTAAGATCACATTTTCTTCCCTGTGCAGAACTGTAAAATTCACCATTGTGTTGTTGGGCTTCGATCTTGCATATCTGAGGGTGCAGTTATAGAAGATTCATTGTTGATGGGAGCAGATTATTATGAGGTAAAAACCAAACTTTTTTAAGTTCTATGGCGCTAAAATTGTGACTAATTTATTCCATTTGAAATTGTCATACTCATGGTTGTCATATTCTCCAGACGGATGCTGACAAAAGATTTCTGGCTGCGAAGGGTAGCATTCCAATTGGTATTGGCAAGAACTCTCACATCAAAAGAGCTATTATTGACAAGAATGCTCGCATCGGAGACAACGTGAAGGTTTTTTTTTTACCCATTATTTCAATTGTGCAATTACATAGTAGTTTGAATCGTAAATTGTATGATAAAATCATGTCACTCAAAACTACTCATGTACATTTGGAAGGTCAAAGCTTTAATGTGAAAACTTTATTATTCCAGATCATCAATACTGACAATGTTCAAGAAGCAGCGAGGGAAACTGATGGATACTTCATAAAGAGTGCGATCGTGACAGTAATCAAGGACGCCTTGATTCCAAGTGGAACTGTCATCTAAAGATCTTCCTAACCACTATGGTGGACAAGAGAGAACCAAGTTTACCTTCCATTACAAATGATATATATATATATATATATGATGTATATTGTTTAGTAGTATAATGCATTTTGATATCAGAAGTGGTGACTTTACAAACTGTTCTGTAAAGGTTTTTTTAATAAAAGTTCCATCTACATTTGTCTTTCTTCATCTCAGGCTTTTGCTTTTTGGCTTATTTCGCCAAAAATAAGTTTTTTTAGAGTTTGCCAAACAAGGCTTTATTTTCCACAATTTCGTTTAGGTGGTCTCAAATCCCAATTTCGATGTTGAATTTCACAATGCCCAACCATCGTGGACCAGATATGCAGAGTCTAAAAAAGAAGCCATTCACCAAAATCAAGCTCTCCAACAAGCGAAAACAAAGATTCACAAAAACTTTCCTATTAAGCCAAAAATGAAAGCAAATACATCTTCAATAAATCCCCAAGCAAACTTGCCATTATTGTGGCCCTTAGTGAAAAAATCCTACAAAAATATCCGCCCTCATTATCACAACAGGAAATTTACATAAAAACAGGAAAAGCCAAGTTAATCAATTCAATATAACTTGTCAAAAACTTGATGTACATTCAGATAGAAGACAAAAGAATAGTTTCAATTTCACATCCTCTCCACCCATCACAAATACCATGAAGCTCCAACAAGAAGGACCAATTAGACATTTGAAACTTCTTACTTGTATAATCAATAAGTTACCTGGTGCTTTTTGAGTCAGTCATATCAAAGTACCTTTCAATTATTTTGTTGAGCATTCTTTGACCAAAATATTCCTCCATTTGTCCTTGAGGTCAACTGGGGTACGAGTCCCATCAAAAACATGGCGACCAAATTCCAAAATTTTCCTCCATGGAAGATTTTTGTTGACCAACGTTGAGAATTTCTGCACTCCTTGCTGCACCATTGAAGTGCTTAATGAAGTTAGATGGCTGTAAGTCAGGGGGGAAACAAAATTAATTCCATTTCGGACATCCGCAATACTTCCTACAATTCTCTAACTGGGAGGCACAACATTTCCCATAAAGGGGAAAGGAAAAAAAGAAGGTCCTCCTTTGTTCTCTAAAGCTGGTCTGGTAAAGGAAAAAGGTTTTGCAGACTTATGCCAAGCACTACTTTCTAATTTATTTGGAATTAAAGACTTCAATCAATCCTTTAGAACACAGAATCCACAAAGACGGTAGAATAATCTTCTTCTATCTTCTTATTTCCTTTGTTATGATGACCAAATGGGTGCTTATTTTTGTTTTGGCAGTGATTGAAACTGAATTACTTTCTGCTTGATTGTTAATTATTCCTTTTTCTGTAAAGTTTGCCTATCATCTTCTACAATGACATGGCCGCCTATAATCTGTCATGTGAATGGGCATCGAGAGCAAAAATGGAGTAGGTAATATATTCATTAAGCAATTTGATAAATTTGACTCAACTTTCTACTTGCTTTAACTTACTTTCTCCTCAACATAAAACACTAAGAGTTCTTCAACTTTCCATTTGCGTCAATAAGCACAAGTAGGATGGCTATATCCAGAGCTCATACCTTTAGCATTTCTTCCTCTTCAGCTGTCCATGGTCGTTTTTTACGCCTCATGTTAGGAAATGATGGCTTCATTCTGTAGATTGGGAATACAAAAAAATAAAAATAAAAATGAAAGTTCAGTTAGTAATTTAAAATTTAAACATATATTAACTAGCCATGATTTGGCAACGTAATTATTTTTACTTCAACACGAACCTCCTGAAGAAGACATTAGACTAAACAATCTCATAGAATATATAAATTTACTCACAGTTGTACTCTAGATTTGCTGGCTGCATTTTTTTGCTCTTTGTGCACCACATTGGTATTTAGTTCGACTAGTCTTGGGTGCTCTACTTGAACACTTTTGCCTGCCTGTACCATTTTAAATTGATGTCCCGTCTCTTCTTCCCTACAACAAGCACCGCCAACATGACCACAGGCAATAATAGGCCCTGCACGCATCCATTTTCCAATCACTATCTTATGCTGATGCCCATCATACGGTCTTGCATTGTTCCCACATCTACCCAGCACAACATCATTTCGCTCATTTGTTGCTGATGCCGCAGCACCTTTATAAGGTACAATGCTTGTAGTGCATTCAAAATTAAATCTTTCTTCTCTATGATCTGCCTCTATTTTAACGGCAACTTCATTGCTGTTCAATTCCAATTTATTCCTGGTATCGTTATATTCTGTGTCTCTCACAACTGTGGATGGATTTGGCTCTTTCCTCCCAACTCTCTCAGCCTTTTGCTTATGTGGGTCAACGTTCATCATTCCTGTATTCAAAAAAATTGATAAAGCTTTCTTTGCCAACATAGCCTTTTTCCTTGCTTTACGTCTTTCCAACATAGCTCGTTTATATGAACAATAAGGGCAATAGAAGTTTCCGGCACTATCAAACCGAGCTGAGCAGTGCATGCATTCCTCATGAACAGCTAATGGGCAGCAATTGTCACTACAACCCAACACCTCACCACCTTTATCACATTTCATACATATTTCTTTCTCTGTCCAATCCATTTCCAAACAAAATTCTTGCTCATGAATGCCCTGAGGGCCCAAACCACTAGACTTCTCTGTCGGGTTACCATTTGTTTTAGGAGCCAAGTCATGGCATAGCCTATCATCATCACTAGTATCACTGGAAGTTTCACATACTATATCACACGGATCACTGTTATTAACTTCATTGACCCACATACCATTGTGAGAACAATCAGGGTGCGCTTCAGAATCAGAGCGCTGTGCAGAAATGAAGGATGAAAATAAATTCCAAATAATAAGAAAGATGCACAGTTCACAAGTGAAAACACACACGGAGTTACACAAAGCTTACCAATTCGCAAATACGCATTTTAACAGCCTATTTCAAAAGAACTTCTATCACTTAGGATGGTTCTGCAAGTCATGCTTTCAATACTTTCAAAATTAAACCGAAACACTTCCATATGTTAACAAAGTACTTCAATTGCTTCTGAAGACATATATTCAGAACACTTATTTAGGCTATTAAAAATTATTCTTTGAGATACCAATTCCAGCTGCAAATTGAAAACCAAACTATAACAGCCATTCTTGTCCTCAAATCAGATTGACAAGGAAAATAACAAGAAGGATTAATTACCCCAATGGTCCCCAAAGTATGCATTATGTTGCACTTTAACTCCCAAACTTTAATTTTCATTAACTTGGTACTCAAAAAACTACTAAATATGAGTTTAAATGGTCCCAGTTCTCATGCCGTCCGAATTGATTAATAAAAGTTGGCATATTTTTGTAATGTTACCTGAAAAAAAAAAAAAAAAAAAAAAAAAATTCAAAATAACCAAATCCACACATTGTCCATAGTATGCACTTTGTTGCATTTTGGTATGTGATCTGTTGCATTTTAGTCCTTGGATCTTTCAATTTTGTACTAGCATTTTTTTTTAACTTATGAAATTCCACACTCCTGTTAGGATTATTAGGGAGGGCATTTTAACTCGTATTTTACAATTTGGAAACCAAATTGACAAAATTAAAGGATTGATAATTCAAGTGCAACAAAATCAAGACTAGTGTGATTAGTCCTAAAAAAAACGATTTTGAAACGGGAAAAAAAAAATCAAGACATAAACAGACTTCAAAGCTACACATAGATGCATATATAAACATAGATAAAAATATATACTCAGATTTTACCTATATATATATACAGAAAGGAAATACAAAGGATTACCTCAGCTAGAAAACTGAAAGCCATGGGGGATGGTTGGGGAGGAAGATTTGAGAGACTTGGCCTTCCTCCTACTCCATTTTCTCTTCTCATCTCATCGATGAATCTGAAAAATTAGGGTTTTTAACTGCCACGAGACTTCGAACGTGGATGAGTAGTTTAGGATCTTTCTTACATAATAAAAATACTGCATCCATATTTGCTGCATCAATATTTGATGACAGATATGACTATGGTGTGTGTGTCCCCGAGGAATTTCCATTCTTTTAGGCTCCGTTTGGTTATTTTATACCAACGTAGGGTGTTTTTTGGAAAGAGGATAAAATGTCCTTGTTTAATTTTTTACTCATTTTAATAGATTAAAAAATTTAAAAAGTCAGTTTTTTATTAATTTTTCAAAACACTCCATATTTATCCGTGCTATATATGGGTACAAATAAATAATCAACAATATTTAGTAAAAATAATTTAGAATCAATTAAATTTTATTTATTTTTATCACAACTATATGTAAGAGATATTTTTTTTATTCTTATGTCATTAATTGCGTGCTTTAAATCCTTAATAAATACATGTCATAATTTAATTGGTAAAAATTTAAAAATAAATTTAAAAAATTATATTTATGATAAAATATAAATACATTTCGTTTTATGAGCTTTGTCAATTTAATTTATCATATGATAGTGGTAAATTACATTTGTCAATCTATTAATTTTTTCATGTTTTGTAGAGTCTAAAAATTTGACTAGCATCAAAATTATAATTTGTCTTATGTTATAAGATTTACGTAAAAATGGATTAAGATTTACTTATGATATTAAATTTGCACTTAACATTAGATTTATGTCAACTTGTCATTTACCTAATCATTAAAAATTGTCTTGATTTATTCACAATTTATATGAATCATTTAACCTACCTATTTATTAAATTAGTAAATAGATATTTATAAATATTTTTTATAATAAAAATAAGAAATATGGACATATTTTATGCATACTTATTAAAAATTTTAAACTTTAGTTTAAAAAAACTATATATTTATGTTTAAAACAATTAAATGAATAGTTATATATATGTATGAAAACATTATTTAAGATAGAGCCACCCTAAATTGTAGGTTATATTCTAGCTCTAATAAATTTAAATTATATCATAATTTATTAGTCCGTGACTGATATGAACTAATTTGAGAATTCTAATATTGGATTAAATACTAAAATGTAACTAAGAAAATTTAGTTCAAGTTGATTTTTTTGCCAATTTCTTGATTTAAGGCTAGTCTTTGGAGAATCGTTTAATTCATGTCCAATCCGTGAGTTAGTAGACTCATCTATTTATTTAATTTTAAATTAGTAAATATATTTTAAAAAAAAATTATAACAAAAATAGAAAATATGTACATATTTGTTTGGTATATTTATTAACAATTTTTAAATTAATTAAAAAATCATGTACTTATTCTTAAATAGATAAATTATATTGGTAGTCCTTATATTTTAACTCTTGTATTATTTTTGTTCTTTTAATTTTATTTTGCTCAATTTTGACATTGAATTTATAATTTTGACTCAATTTGGTCTAATTAGTATAATTGTTATTTTTTTTTATTATTGAAAATATACACATGAGTAGCATCTGTTATACTTTTATAGACAAAATTATAAACTTGTTAAACTCAGTAAATTAATCTCAACCAAGTCAATAACTATTTTCTTTCAAAAACCTTAACTAACGTTAACAATTGGATCAAAATAATACAAAATTTAAAATTAAGGGTCAAAATCAAACTAATTGAAATTATAGAGACCAAATTGACATAAGAGACAAAATGTGGGGGCTATCGATATAATTAACCCTTCTTAAAATATGTCTAATAATATTGATTATATCAATATTAAAATATAGTTATATTTGAAAAACTATTTAAGACCAGATCAAACTAGAACCTATATAAAAAATTGATAGCTTATTAAAAATATTTAATAATTATAAATTTAAATTTGATCAATTTTTATTTAAATGTTTTCATAATAGAATTAGACTGTTTGATAATTATAATTTATAGTTCCAATTTTTCTTTGTATTTTTTTTAAAATATTTTAAAATTATATATAATTATAATTTCTTTTAAACTTTTCTTTTCAATCTCAAATTAGCTGTAACTTGAATTTGGTTAAAATTTATTTCTGCCTTCGCACCTACAAAAACTAACAATGAACATGAATTGTTTTTTTGAACATTGTAAGATATAAATAAAGAAATATATTATCAATAATAATAATAACAACAAAACATATTTTTATTTATCATGTGACGTTTCATCACTACATTAATAATAAAATTGATTACGATAATACAACAATAATATATCAGATGATAAGTAATATGTGATCATAATAATTTTTTATAGTTATGTAAAAGTACCCAAAATTATATATAAAACAATAATATATGATCAATATTCAATTTTTGTATAGTAAAATTCACACTTAATCTCAACCACACATTAATTTTCTAAATCAGTTTATCACCCAAACTATCTACTATTCTCTTTAGTAATATTCACCTTTTCAAAACCACCTAAAGAATACTTTGGCCGAGCTTATCATTACTCTTGTTGTTGTCATGCTCACCACCTCCACTAACCATTATACAACTCCAGTCTAGTTTTCTTATCTTTACAAATATAAAAAGACAATGTTGGAGAAATAAAAAGGTACCGTTAGAGTTTTAAAGAGTTAAAAATGAAAATTAAAAAAAAAATGCGTGATTTTAGGTTTTCTTATTCCATATACAGGTGTTAATTTTTTTTAAAAAAAATCCATAAAATTATGGAAATGTATTCATTATTTAAAATTTTATTTATTGATGGGCAAGTCAATTAAATGTTTTTAATTCTTTACAAATAAAAAGATTTGAAAATTTTGTTTAAGAAATTAAAAAAAAAGGGCCAAATCATAAAGAATAATATAAGACGCCTTATTCTATAATTTAAAAAAAAAAACCTCTCATAACTATATTATCAATTTACATATATGAAAAGAAATACTAACAACAATATAAAAAATATACAAACATCCACCCAAAAAAATAAAAATAAAACTTCAAATCAACTCCTAAAACAAAGATAGTTAAACAAATATATATTTATCATCAATTTAGTTGGAAAAAAAATCGTATAGAGAAAAAAAAATACTCAAACGAAAATAAAAATTTATTAAAATAAAAAATAAAAATCACAAACAAACAAACTTAAAATAAGTTTGACTATTGGCAAAGAGAGAAAATAACTTTTGCATTATTATATTTGGAGAGGAGTTGGCTGGGCTAAAAAAAAATTCAAATATTGGGTATCCTAAAGGGAGAATTGTATTTAATTTTTAATTTGATTGGATTTATAAAGTTTTAGATTTATATTATTTTCGAAAAGGGTGATGGTAGGGTGCGGGTGACTTACCATATTATTTTGAATTTTGAAATTCAAAATCATAGATAATTAGTACCTTTATTGTTTCTTTAATTGAATTGTTTTTTATCAATATTATTTTTGGAAAAAGTGAGGATGACTTAACATATTGTTTTGAATTTTAATATTCAATATTACAAATTATTAGAGTTTTTTTTTTTTTTTTTTTTTTTTTGACTTACAGAGCTAACCAATGGATTTTTTTTATTTCTTTAAAAATTAACAAATTAACAAAATTAGTTTGAGAGTTTGGAGCTCCTACAATCAATGTTCTTAAAAATCCCATTTTCCTTATATATATAGATTTTATTTTTTGCGAAAAATAGTTATGAAGTTAAAAAATTATTTAAAATAAAATATGATTTTTAATAATGTAATTAAAAAAACATTCTAAGAAATATTAAATTTTTTCTATCTTATAAAAAAAGATTAAGAAATTATTAAAAAATCAATTATCAAAAGGAAAGATTAATAGTATATTTTTTGAGTTAGATTGTATTTTAATTTTTGTAATCTTAATTAGTAAATAATATATATATATACATAATCAGAAAAAGGAGAAAATAAATATCACAGGGATGATGTTAAAAACATTTGCTCTCTCTCTCTCTCTCTATATATATATATATTGTTAGGGAAAAACGATGTGATTCCCCACAAGTAAATCAAACAATGGGAATAAAAAATTAATGCGGAAAAATTAAATCAAGAGCAACACAAGAATTTTACGTGGTTCCCTCAATGTGAGGTACGTCCACTGGATCGAAATCCGATTCCACTATCAACCAAATAAGTTCCAAACGATTAATATATATATATATTGAAATATTAGGTTTTATGAAAGAAATATTATGAAAAAGTTTCATAAAGTTTTAAGAAATAATCTAATATAAAGCAACTTACTTTAATGTTAGAGAGTTGTGTTACATTCTATGTTTAGTTTCTGTGTACATGAACTTACTCTTTGTCTTATAGTGCTCTATGAATAATCGGGAGTAAGTATATGTGATTGCATTAAGATACAATAAAACACCACAAACTAATCCAATAATAGAGAATCTTCATAAAACTTTTATGATATTTCTTTCATAAAATTTAGAATTACTCATATATATTTTGTGGAAAAACTATGATACACACTCCTCAAAGGGTATATATTATATGTTGGAACAATCTTCTGTGTAAATAAAATAATTAGAAATAAATTCAAACAAAATAAATAAATAACGTACCGAATTTATTTATTTAACCGAATAAATAATTTAAGACCAAGTCGAGTGTGTGACACTCTGTCCCTCCTCAAAGGGTATATATTATATACACGTTATAATTATAAAAGAAAATTGAATAATTTCATACTTTTTAAGTCATAACTATATAAAAAAAAAAAAGAAGTCATAACCAAATACAAAAAAATAATAATTAAATATGCTAAAATAATGTCATAATTAAAGAAGATAATGAGGTAATTAAAAATATATATAATATGAGAATGTGTATAACAAAATTTTCATATATACAAATGACATAATATAAAATCTTACTATTTTATTTTTGCCAAGACCATTCCATCGAGTCTTTAATTTCAATCTCTCTCCTCTTTATCTGTTCAGCATATAAACTATTTGTTGTAATAATATTAATAATTTTAGCAAAAAAGTGGTAATAGGATCGTTGAAAAAAAAAAATTATACTACGAATAACTCGAGTCCAATCCAAAGCACAAATCAAACTTTAAACGCAAGTCAGGCTTGACGGGCTTTAAACAACCTGGGTATACGATAATGGGCTTTGAGTTGGGCTTGGCACGGCCTCAACCCACTCAAGTTGCAGCCTACCAACCACGCATAACCACCTCCTCCGCGTACTGAGTACACCAAGTAAATTCCCCACAGTTTATGCACTCACTCCACCGAAAACGAAGGGTAAGGATCAAGAAAACCAACAAACAAACGAATCAAACAATCCTCACCTTTCTCTCTCTTCCATACCAGAATTAATCACATCACATGAGTCATCAGCACAACTATAACAATTGCCGGACTTTTTTGCGTAAATTTTCTTTGGCAATCTTGTTTTCTCTGTGAATTCTCTGCAATTCTATGTCCTTCAGCTAGATCTTCGATTGCTTTCACTAGGGTTATATATATATATATATATATGTATATTTGATCTCTTTGATGTTCTCTTTCATCTTTGTTGTGAAATTGGGGCTCAGCAGTTATGCCCGTGTTCGGAGATGGAATCTTTAGTGGATGGCTAACAACAATTCACCAATGGCTGGAATCCCACCACATGTTGAAGTGAGTTCTCTCATTATTATTTTATAAATTCAATACTCCTTTTTGTGAATCGCATGCATCGATCAGATTTTCATTGATATTATGTTCCGTAGTAAATAATTCATGTCATGGATTTGGAATGGAAAATCAAGTTAATTCAAATTTTGAACTCTCCAAATCCATTTCCAAAATGTGAATTTTATGCTGCCAAACACTGGTTTAGTGTCAATCAAAGAATGGGTTGGAAGACAATTCTAAGTATGAGAAGTTATTGATCACTCTTGCCACATAATCTTCACTGCAAATGTAAATTTCTCTGATAATTATAAAACAATGAGGAAAAAGAGGAATGGATTATTCAAGGTGGGGATAATGTGCATAGTGCATGCCATATCTGGTATATATGTTACATGAACTTTCCTCTTTGATGAGCATTGTAGCTTTTGTGACCTGCGACATTTTGTTGCTAGAGACCAAATATGAGGTTTTGAACCCATTGACTATGCTCATTAGTATGTTGGATGAGATTTTATATGTGTAGTCTGAAATACACAGGCCTTTGGTGGTAATGACATCGTTTTCACAGATGGGATCATTAGAGGAACATTCAGTGATTGATCTCGAGGATGAGTGCTTGATCAACCATGGGTCTATTGATGGGAGGACAAAACCTCCACAAAGATATAATTCTGTTGCTTTATGTTTGGAGGATTCTGGTTGGGAACATATATGGAAGATTGTGTTAAGCAGAACCAAGGTAGTATTCTTCTCAAACAAAATCAACTTACTGGTGCCTTGTGGGCCTTTAGCAATACTGGTTGATTTGTTTACTGGTCATCAGGTGAGTTTTACGCCTCTCTCTCTCTCTCTCTCTCTCTCTCTTAATTATTTTATTTTACTACATCTTTTTGGTCACTATCTAATTAAATGATTGTTCTCATTCATTACTTTAAATTGATTTCAGGGCTCGGTCTTCTTGCTAAGCTTGTTAGGCACCATCCCTTTGGCAGAGCGTTTGGGTTGGATTACAGAGTAATACTTAATGCATTTCCTCTATACCTAGTAATATCTATGTCCATGGACAACATGGTTATGAATGTCAGATACATCATACATGTCTAAAGTATCTGGTTTCATACACATGCTCAACTAGTGTGTCTAATGAGGAAAGAGCAGGCCACATTTTTGTTTGTTAAAGTGTTCCTGACTTGAATACTTTAAAAGACTAGTGGATTCTTTAAGAATTGGGTAAATTGATATTTCAGTTGTTCACATGAATAAATCACTTAGAACTGATGTCTTACTAAGTCCATGCAACAAAGATTTCTATTTACTCTTCCAGTAATGAAGATTGATGGGAACTAATATAGTTTAGCTTCCTTTCAATGCAGGCAGCTGGCTTTTTATACTGGACCTATGGGTATTTTTTTTTTCTTATTTTGATTATTACTCCTTTCTTATATATTCCCTGTTTAAATGCTTGTTAATATCATTTTTGTGTAAATATCTGCATTTGATGCTAGAAGCTGCGCAAGATATAAACAACAAATTAATTTTTTTTTTGAACTGTTATACTTTGTGTTGATATAATATTTATTGTCGAAATCTGTAAGCACTGCTGTTTTCCCTTTACTTTTCCATATTTATCATCTGCTTCTGTATATATCTTTTTTGGGCTTATGTTCATGGTCTAAGGTCAACATTGTTTGTTGGTGTCAATATAAATTGAATAAAAGAAGTGCAAAAGAACTAAAAACACAACACTTCAGAATAATAGATTGCGTAAACTCTAAACCTAGGTACACATTATAGGGTAAGCAAAGTTAATTTTTACACACTATCTTGTTATCGTATTATGCTACTGGCATATTGTTTATGACTTTGACAGTTAATTCCATCTAAATGAGTAAAAAAGAACATTGAAAACTAAACATTAGCTCATTGTTGAGTGTTGACTATAAAAGTTTGTCATGAGAATTATTGGTCAATTCCTTTTTGCTTGATACAGCAAGATCTAGGTGAATTTTGTGAGAAATAATTTTAACAAAATTATACTACTTAATGGCAATGAAGGAGACACAACTCTGAGGTTTTCATGTATGAATCACTTGAACTGTGTCATTTGAATCATAAAATTGTTAGAAATTGATTCTATTGTCTTTTGGATTTGTAAAATTTTCCAATTGCCTCAGTATAATGCAGCCTAACTCCTTGCTGTAGCAAAAACTCAGTAAAACTATGGAAGTACAGAATTTTTTTGGAAAACTCTACATGTTTAGAATTGTCTTGGTTCCTAATGACCATATACAGTTTGGCTTTTACAATTTCAATACTGTGGTAGTAGCATTGCTAATAGTTAGTTTGTTCCTTTCACATTTTTGTGACTTTGATCATTGTTGCTTCTAGGGTAATTTGTAATGGCCTTGGTTTGAACTTACAGTTGGGGGCCTTTTAAATGCTACTTTTGGAAATGCAACAGAACTGATAATATCAATTCATGCAATGAAAAGTGGCTTGTTACGTGTTGTCCAGCAGTCATTACTAGGCTCAATTCTGTCAAACATGTTGCTGGTGCTTGGATCTGCATTTTTCATTGGAGGAATTTCTCATTCTAATAAGCAACAAGTGTTCAACAAGGTAGGCTAATTTTGATTCCCATCATCGTTTGTTCTTTCTTTCTTTTTTTTTTTTTCTGAAAAAGGCTGGTGTATAGCTTAGTTTTCATTTTCCATGTCTTATTATCTTTGATGGACTAAATATTAGTGTTCAAATCCTGTTGGCAGGCAAATGCTGAGATGAATTCAGGATTGCTCTTGATGGCAGTTATGGGCCTGATGTTCCCAGCTGTGCTTCACGTTACACACACTGAGTTGCATTATGGGAAGTCAGAGTTGGCCCTTTCAAGGTTCAGCACCAGCTGTGTTATGCTTGTGGCATATGCTGCCTATCTTTTTTTTCAGCTAAAGAGCCAGAGGAATCTCTATGGCACTATTAATGAGGTTGGAGTCATTCGACCTTTGATGCTTTCCTGAAACACAGACATGCATTTCTTATGTTTCAGACATCAAATATATTAATCTGTTGGTATCAAATACTTGTTCAATGTAGAGTTTGGTCTGACTATAATTATGACTATTAGATGTTTCAATCACAAGATTCTCTCTCTCTGTCTCTCTCTCTCAATGAAGATTATTGAGCATGTTTGTTATGATGAAGAGGAGGAGAACCTTTACAAGCTTCCCCTCTTTTATTACCTTAGCAGAGGGTTGCTTTTCCTAGTTGCTTCTCGCTTCCTAATTTTGCCCCTCCAATTTTTGAAACCTTACATATCAGTTCCACTTTGCCAGTTGCTCTTGCACTTGATTTAGCAACCATGCTCTCATAGGCAAGTTGCTAAGGTGAAGTAGGGACTGTGACAGATAAAAATAACTTGACTGATGAGTTTTATTCATTGTCTCAATACTTCTAAAACCTGCACTACCTTTTTCCTTTGTTTCTCTGTGCATCTCTGCATCTCATGCAACACATGGCATAAAATAGGGAACTCTCCTACAGTTCTTTTCTTACTACATTTTCTGTTTTGTTATGAATGATTTAGTCTGATAAATGGCTTAAAATCAGGAAGAAAGTCAGGCTGATGGTAGCTTGGTTGATGAAGAAGCTCCTGAGATCACCAAATGGGAATCAATAATATGGCTTTTTATATTGACTATGTGGATTTCATTCCTCTCAGAATACTTAGTTAATGCCATAGAGGTACTCTTGCTTTCTTAATCTAATTCTATAGTTATTTACCATTCTCAATGTTGCAGAGTATTATTATCATCAGGAATGGTAGTGCCTTTAAGCAGTAGCTCTTTTTTAGTTCCTCCAATGACGATGCCTTCACATATTCATCTACCTTGCATCTCTCTCTCATATGCATCTGTCTTTGGTATGTTGAATTGCACAAAAAGTTTTTGCATGACAAAGAGGAAGAGAATCCTTTAGTTGTATTTATATTTTTGTGAACCTTCTTTTATACCAACATATGGTTATGTTTCAGGGTGCATCTGTTACATTGAATATTCCAGTTGCATTTATAAGTGTCATCTTGCTCCCAATTGTTGGAAATGCAGCAGAGCATGCAAGTGCTATTATGTTTGCCGTGAAAGACAAGCTTGTAAGTGTTTTTCTGTTGGGCTTCTCCTTCTGGTAACCAATATGTGTGACTACAAATTGTACTCTTACTAAATCTCCATGTAGGACATATCTTTGGGAGTGGCAATAGGATCATCAACGCAGATATCCATGTTTGGGGTAGGTATTAAATATTTTATGGCTCTATCTAGCTCTTGTTGAATTGCACATGCCTCTGCGTGTGCTTCTTGAGTCTGATTATACCTGATTCTAATTGTACATTTAGAATTAGAGCTGCTTTCTTGGTATTATATTCTCCTTTCTTATTCTGGTTTGAAGGCATTGCCGAAATTATGTACAAATTGAAATATAATAGGAGAAAGTAGAGTGGCACTTTTGGATTTTGGAATAACAAGTGATATTGGAGGTGCCACTTAGGTTAACTAATGAAGTCTTTTGGAGGTTGTACATCAAGGGTTGGGAAGGGTTGGGGGCTTGGGGTCAGGGAGGGTTTGGGCATGTGAGATGGATAGCGCCATCTTCATTTTTGTATATACCTTGGACCAAGACAGAAAAGACTGTGTGCTGTTTGTGCAGAGCATGGTGACAAGCTAGAACTTATTCATCTACATCTGTTTGTTCTCATCTTTCACTCTTTTTCGTGATGTTCTTTATCACTGTAGATGCTGATAGAAGTGCACCATTTGTTTCCATTGTGAAAAAACTGGGAGCAATAAAGCATTCTTAACAATTGGTTAAATGGGCACGGCTTGAGTTTCTTGTTGATTTGCTTATCTTTGTAGCTCATAACAAATTCTGAGATAGCTGAGAACTACTTGTGCCATTGTAATTGCTTCCATCGCTTCGTCAATGCCATGCTATAGACTAGGGTATGAAATATCATGCTTTTGTTAATAAAGAAATCCACCATTTAATACCATATAACTCGCATATCCTTTCAAAGGTTTTTCTGGATATATATACATATTATATTAAATTCATTATTCAAATAATGTGTTTATGTTGTTTATGTTTTTGTTCTTTGGGTGAATTACCTCTTAACTCACCTCTTAACTCCTTTTTTTATTGTGTTGCACACAGATTCCATTTTGTGTGGTTTATGGATGGTTCTTAGGGCATCCTATGGACTTAAATTTTCAACTTTTTGAGACAGCAACCCTTTTCATGACAGTTTTAGTTGTAGCCTTCATGCTGCAGGTTTGTCCATTGACAAAGATATATTTTCCTTATTTTCCATTACTGCCCTTTCTTTTGTTTATTTATTTATTTTTTGCTTTTTAATTGTGATAAAGTTTCTATTTAATTTTAAATAATTTTAGGTAAAGAATAATTTTTCAATATCATTTTTCTGAAGCATTTGGACGCCTCATCTTTTTCATGGTTCATGCAATAGCCATTCTTCATTGTGCTTGCAGGAGGGGACTTCTAATTACTTCAAGGGACTAATGCTCCTCCTCTGCTATATGATAGTTGCTGCAAGTTTCTTTGTACATATAGATCCGGAATCCATACGTGAGTTTCTACCCCTTTTCCCTGTCCAGTGGACAAATGAGAGCATGAAAAGTTCATTGAATTTGAGACATTTTGAACTTTTGGCTTTTATAGTTTTTTAGTTTTATTTTTATTATAGCTTTGATTGCCTGCATTTATGTGTTTAACTTTTCAAGTTTGTGAAACTTTTTGGAATATTATCCACTTTGCTTTTTATTGCTCATTTCATGGGATCCCCTTAGAGGAATATCCAATTATTGAAATCCCCTTGTTTCCGTTAATACTATACCTCCAGATGACTTTCTCATTCACATCTATACTTTGAGTTTGAGGTTCTTCCATTAATTTTTTACTTATGATGTTTGAAAGCATGACACACTCAACATGTCATTTTTCAGGGGATAAGCCCAAAACATAGATGAGAAAGTGCAGAGAATTTATGAAGTGGACCAGCTGAAGCACCAAGTCTGGGATTGTGTCTATGCAAGAGATGAGCCCTTAGAAAACTTGTTGAATTGAGGACCTCCGGTATTTCACTGTATAGTATCAGAAATCGATCCACGCCTTTTGTCAGTCCAATTTCTACGAAGGCATTGTCAGTGCACTTTTTTGTTGAGGCAGCCAGCGGTCGGTTTCGTGGTCGGAACAAATATGGTTGTATATAGTTGATAGTGTTCATATTGATTTAGTAGTAGTGAAAGTCAATGATACATGAAAAAAATGCAACATACATTCACTTCTCTTGTCAACACTAGTCTTATACCATAGGTGTAAGTATGCCATTTCGTCATGTCAGGTATGCTTCTTTTTTTTCATCCTTCTGTATTGAGTTCTGCCTCATGTTCTGTTTTGTTCTTTTTATATCTATACTATTATATAAAGTAGAGAATGCATGTTGGTGTGAACGCGAAACAAAGTTGTGACACTATTAAAAAATAAATAAATTTCATTTGTGAACAACTTTTGCCCTTGTATAAATATGAGGGTAATTATGTAAATCTTCCAACACAATTGCTCCAAATTTTAGGAATTTTTAAACTGAAGAAAACACTCTTTATTCAACTATGGATATGCACAAATAGTCTGCCAATTATGGATACTGAAACTATAAATAGGAATACATAACAATCAAAATCATATTAATCGTTTTAAAAATAAATAAATGTAGTCTTGTTATGGAGCTATAAATGTCAAACTAATCTAATTTTTTTATGAATAATTTATTTGATAAGTTTTACAATATAAATTATTCGAATTAGTCTTTTCAATGTATACATTCACACTTACAAATTACAAAATCCAAAAATGTGTTTGGGCTCCCGACAGTGTTATCCAAACTTGGTGAATGCAAGGTTTACAAATGAGAGTTCGGGTCATACCTCAAAAAAGGTGGACCCCAACATAAGCTTCATATGAAAGAAGCAAACGGAGTGTAACTTCCTCCAAAACCAACTACACTTCTTTTGAAGTTTCAATGTGGAGAAACAAAGAGGAAAACAGGGTAAACAAGTCAACCGTCAAAGCAAGAAAACTTGAGCATTCACTCTTCTGAACAGTCTCTCTGATATCAAAGAGTCTATAACTGTATGTCGAAATTGATATATATTTTGATACTGTTGTCCTGATAGATGGCAAGTTACCTTGATATAGTGGGGGGTGGTGGTGGTAGTACTGAAACGGATGAAGCTACCTTCTATCTCTGCATGATTGTTATGTCGGTGTCGATTGTATCAATGATCATCTTTGCTTTTGGTTTGTCTGATCGCAAACAACATGACTAGGCAATGACACTGCTGCTGTGAGCGGGCGTGATGGGGGTGGGGGTGGGGGTGGTGGTTGTGGTTGTGGTTGTGATGGAGTTTCAAGAAGTGCTTTCTTGTTTGTTTGTTTGTTTGTTTTTATTTATTTATTTATGTTTTTAGCAAATTTCATCTCTCTTATAATATGTTGTAAACTAAATAAATGTTGGAACTCAATTCCTCCTTATGTTTCAATGTATATTGTCTGTTGGAATATCCATATTGCCAAATGGAGGGTTCTATCCAATTCAATTTGGAATCGATAATTTGAATCGTTTAATATGTAAAACTTGTTAAGTATTTTATTTCTGTAAAAAATACTTTGATCAGATATCGATATCTATTTGATCAGATTACATTTGTGTCTACGGTAAGTTTGATTTTTAAAATAAATTGTTGACATAATTATTATCTGAATCAAGTATTTATCAATATCTGATCAATATGATTTTTTGTAGAGATGAAATACTCGACGAGCTTTATATAGTGAACGGTTCAAATCATCAATGCAGGCTCCGTGGTGAGTCCATGGAAGCCCAACAACACCCTCTAATTGGAAAATCTAACTGGAGAGGAGCTTGCTCCTTAACGAATAATTCTTGTAAATTTATTTGATGCAGAAAATAAAAATGATAAAGAAGTCATTGAGTAGATTGGTTGTTAATGGGTCGTTGAACACACCAAAATTAAATACTAAACTATACCAAATTCTATCAGAATAATGGCAAGTCCAGGTATCGATCCACAGGGACTATTGTGAAATTAAAGAAAAAGTCAACGCACGTGCGGGAAAAGTCAACGCACGTGCGGGAAAGTCAACTCTGCCCAAATTCTGGTTTTTTGCTCATTTTATGCTCTGACGATGTACAACCTGATTGACACTCAACACACATAAAATATACAGTTTGACCAACAAGTGAAGTTAAGAGATTCTAATTAACGGCCTCAATGATGTACATTTCGGCCTTAATCAGTTGCGGGGTGTGATGTTGAGTATAATTTTTTTTTTAAAGAAAATATTATCTGAAATTAATATTTTATCTGATTTTCTTATTATAAAACATAAAATAATGGGTTTCACGTGAAATTTTAAAAAATTTCAAGTCAATGAAAATTAAAGAACAACACATAAAACTCAAATCTAGCTGTGATCACTTAGAACATTAGCCACAATGACAATGGTCTTAGAACACTAGTCCCAATTTAGCCAAAATATTACGCTCCATTTGTTTTGTATTTTCTGGCATTTAATACAAATGAAAATTATTAAAACTTAATATTTAACATAGATTGATTATTCTAAAATAAAGGATTTAATAGAGATAGAAAAAATATATTTTATTAAGATCCTCGTACAAATAAAAACATTCATGAAAGCAATGCCAATCTAACGTTCTCAAATCTGTTTTTGAGCCCACGAACTTGTACAAAATTGTAATTGGAGTCTTCTCAATTGTAGTTGCGGTCAATGCAAGAAAACTAGCCACCATGATCGTAAGTTTCATTGTGTCACACACGTAAACATTCATTCAAAAAAATTATGTGATCCAAATTTAATTTGGATGTAATGTCCATCATTGTTGACTTATTTTTTCTACGAAGGAAAATATCATAAATGCGAGTGTGTCAGTAAGGATTGAAAAATCCTTACAGATTAAATTCAAGCAAATTATTAAGCAATTGCGTTGACGGTTTTTTTGCCTCAACAAAGAGGACTTCAAAATTGCCAAAGTGTAGAGAAAAGAAAAAGTAAAAGAAGAAAGAGGGATGCAGAAAGACGAGTGAGTAAACAATCAAAGTAATAATTACTTACCTCTACTCCTATGCTTCGAAAGGAAGTACATAAAATGCTTCGAAATGGAAATGCTGAAAATAAATGATTCGAAATATAAATCTATGTTAAACTATTCCTAAGATAAGGAAAATGACAAGAAATATTGAAATCAATTGTCTTTGATTATGAATTCTGGATCTTTACAATGTAGCCATTAATGGCTATTTATAGAGGAAAAAATACAGTAATAACTACTTAGTAACTACCCATTTCTTCCATCTTCATTCTTGTCTTGCCATGCGTCTTTCCACTCATCCACTTTGTCCTTCATATTCTCCATCATCTCCATAACTTCTTTTAACTTCCAAATGAATAAGAGGATGCCACGTGTCCTACAATTATATAAAAAATAAATATTAATAAAATTGCAGATTTATGGTGCTAATATTACCCCTCGCGGCCCTTAAAAATGATGTTTACTTGAATTTTTGAAGGGCCGAACTAAGCACATGACTAACCTAAGCAGCAAAGTACTTCGAATGATGTAACAACACCAATAAAGTGCTTCGAATGAGTATGAAATTATAACTAGATGACTCGAATTATGAATAGTAACAAGCTTCGAAAGTGGTATAAAGGACCAAAATCATTCTTCGAAGGTCGATGGAGCCGACAAAGGACGAATTACATCCTCGAAAATACTCGGCAAAGCTTCGAAGGTTCACAACCACCATTATTATTTCTTCGAAGCTGTTGTTAATGTAAGATAGAGTGCTTCGAAGCTTACAAAATTATGGCAAAACAACTTTCGAAGCAACTTATGGCAAAACGGCTTTCGAAGCTGTTTTTGGCCAACATTGTGATTATTCAAATCTTATATGTTCTGGTTCACACATAATTAATGAAAATATTAATTTTGTGCTTCGAACCAATTATTAATTCTTTGAAAACGCCAAAACTGTTGTTCTTCAAACCAATTTTTGTAGAATACTAGTTACATTTTCATGAAACAAATGGCTATAAAAATGTTTATCAGTAAAGCTACTAATTATCATGCCAAAAATAGGCATTATTTGACAATTAATTAATTGTCATTTTACATATATTTGAAGAGAGGTACACATTTCGAAAGCTTTCTCTTCTCATGTTGCATTTCGAAAATGTTTATTGATGACAAAACTACTATTCGAAAGTCATATATATTACTAAAGGATCAAAGTCGTCCTTCGAAAGTGCTCATGACATCTCTTCGAACTAAATCCAAAGAGTTGGATTACAAGTTTGACATTTTAACCAGCCATTAATGGCTATAAAATGATATTTCGATGAATAACATGCTTCGAAGTGTCTTGGGACATGCTTCGAAGGTAACCACAAAACCAAATGGTGATGGTTTTATGGATCAACTAATAACTGTATTTTTGGCCCAATATATTGCAATAACAAAATATTATTTGTTAGCCATTCCATCAAAGTCAACATTTGATGTGATCCACAAAGCCAAAATGGATTTCGAACAACAAAAGTCATGGTATAGTGTGACCATGAAAATTCATACTTTTTGACATTTTGAAAAATATCAAAAAATTTGAATTCATGAACAGTGGCGTGTTCATTATTTTTGACCATGTTTGTTTTAAAAACATGACTTTTGCCGAATAGATTTTCATAATTATTTGGTAAAGTGGGTTGTTTTTCCATGTTAGCCATTAATGGCTTATGAAAATCACCCATAGATATGTTATTTTCGTGACTTGACTCTCTAAAAATTGGTTTTGAGACCCCCCGAGCCATGCATGGAACATCATTCTTAGCCAAATTTGGCTCAAGAACATGCTCTTTCGTTATGTTAATTTCATAATTTGGCTTTTTAAAAATGGATTCTTGAACCCCCCGAGCCATTGATGAAATCAACTCTTTGCTTTTGCTACTTTTAACCATGGAAAAATTCTGAAAAAATTCACCAATTCCAGCCATTAAGGCCTCAGTTAAAGACTTGGTAGTGAGAGTTGATAACTCATCATTCTATTGGCAAATTTCCATATCAAGTTGATGAATTTCTCCAATTAAATGGTGTCTTTTTTCTTCTACCAAATAATATTGTAAGGGATGAAAATTTATTTCATCAAGAAAATGGATCTCTTCTTGAAGATCCAAAATTTCTTGTTTATGCCAATAAATTTCATCTAGGCTATTTGAAATGGACAAATCCAATTCATTTTTCATTTATTACACTTGACGTCCCACCGGGCGTGCCAAAAATTGTTGGCTTATTTTTCCTACGAAGAAAAATATCATAAATGCGAGCGTGCCAGCAAGG